ACCGGCTCTGAGCTAACATCTATTGCCAATCCTCCTCCTTTTTTTTTTTTCCCCAAAGCCCCAGTAGATAGTTGTATGTCATAGTTGCACCCCCTTCTAGTTGCTGTATGTGGGACTCGGCCTCAGCATGGCCGGACAAGCGGTGCATCAGTGTGCGCCCAGGATCCAAACCCGGGCCACCAGTAGCGGAGCTCGCGCACTTAACCGCTAAGCCACGGGGCCGGCCCTGCACTGAATCTTAAAAGTGAGTTTGGAGTCAGACAAGAGTTTGGGCATTCTAGGTAGAGAGAGAACATGTATGAAGGCATGGAAAAATGATGTTTGGGGAAGTGCTCGTACAGGAGATGAAGTCAGGTAATATAGAACATGAGAGGGCCGGCCCCGTGGCTTAGTGGTTAAGTGCGCGCGCTCTGCTGCTGGCGGCCCGGGTTCGGATCCCGGGCACGCAGCGACGCACTGCTTCTCTGGCCATGTATGAGACCACGTCCCACATACAACAACTAGAAGGAGGTGCAACTATGACGTACAACTATCTACTGGGGCTTTGGGGAAAAAAAAAGGAGGAGGATTGGCAATAGATGTTAGCTCAGAGCCGGTCTTCCTTAGCAAAAAGTGGAGGATTAGCATGGATGTTAGCTCAGGGCTGATCTTCCTCACAAAAAAAAAAAAAAGAAGAAGAAGAAAGGAGATGGCTACAACCTTATCCAGAAGAGAAATTCAGGGCCTGAGCTAAAGGGAGACATTAGGAATAGAGAGTAAGGGACAGATTTGAGAAACATTTAGGAGTAGGATGGATATCATTTTTTGTGATGGATGACATGTGAGCATTAGGGAAGAGTTAAGGATAGTTCTCTAACTTCAGAGTTTCTTGGCTTAGAGAACCATGTGTATAGTGACACCATTAACTGAGATTTAGCAGACATGAGAAGAAGTAGGTTTTCAGTAAATTTGACAATAGGGGAATATCGAGGTCAGAAGAGAAATTAGGGTTAAATATAGAGATTTGGAATTATTAGCATATAGAAGAGAATTGAAATCATGGATCCAAACCATG